CACACACACACACACACACACACACACACACACACACACACACACACACACACACACACACACACACACACACACATCCAAGTGAGCAATGGCTGATCCCCTCCAAAGTCTCTGAACACACATCCAACATGTGTGAGGATAATATTTCTGAAGTTCCTCAGAAATATTCCTCAAAAGGAACAATTCAGCCGCTGGAAATTGTCCAAAACTAAAATGTAGACCCCAACTTGCGATAATGGAAAAAGCGTGAAAAATGTCCCTCTCTAGAGGACATTTACCTGGGTTCACTCTTTGACGCCTCACTTTTCATTTGGGTTTATTTTTATACTTTCTCTTTAAATACTCTCTTTAACGCTCCCCTTACTTTGCCCTTCACACTACACATCAGCTCATATTGAAACTGTGCATTTTCACATCATTTGTGGATCACAGTTACGATCAATTTAACATTTTCTTGGAACCTTTCATGCTTTTATGCCATGACAGGTCGTGACAGATGTTTTGCTCTCAAACGGAAAGAAGTGATGTAATTTAAAAAAGATCTTTAAAGACCAGTTAGTTTGTAGCCCGCATATTCTTGAAGGAGCTGCATGTGTTTACTGTATTTGACTCCATTCATTTGTGGTATCGGTTTTGGCCTCTTGACTATTGGCCATTTGTCAGACTAGTGACACAAACCTTTGACATCCTGTGTAGCCACTGAGCAACACACCGAGTGAATAGAGGCCAGAAATGTAATTAAATACAGGGCAAAATCCACAACGACAGAGGAAGTCTATAACTGGTCATTCTGGAATCGAATAGGGTAATAAATAAAGTAACAAACACAGGCAGTCATACAGGTATGCACACACACACACATGCACAAAAAGATGGAGAGATGTAGCCTACATGAATGTTAAACCTGGGAATTAACAGGAGTGATAAATATGGAAAGATGCCAACACACACACACACACACACACACACACACACACACACACACACACACACACACACACACACACACACACACACACACACTGTACCTCCTCTGCAGCTATTAACTCATGATGTGACTGACAACACAATGGATATGCCAGTCCGACAGCTCATTAGGTCTGATTGCTGCTGACATGATATTTCTCACTTTCTTATTCAGCTCTTTTCTGGGTGGAACCCATAGCCTGTTACTATTTGTGCTTCATAAGGATTAGTGATTATTTTAATCATTTGTTTGGATTTTCAACTCTCTGGAATAGAATCTCAGTATTCATTTTAAGTTGGAGCCAGAATCAGAAAATAGCATTTGGCATGGGAAAGTCTGATACCTTCGGGTTAGATTATTAACATGCTGACAGGATTGCAGGAGCTGAAGCGTCTCATTGATTGCTGCAGTGTATGATGGCAATGCTGTCATTAGTTTCTTATGAATTTGAAAAGGCTTTTAAAGAGGTTGGTTTTAAATGCGGGCCTTGCTTCAAAGATTATCATCTCCCCTCTGAAGGGCCGTTGGTTTGTCCAGGGCTCACAGTGACTACCGGTACATTGGATGAGAAACATCTTTATTGGCACTTTCTCCCTAGAGCAGTGCAGAGCAAGGTGTCATTGTAGATGTGATGTATTTAAGTGTTTATCTGGTGTGGCACAGTCCACAGGTGTTGGTTTCCACAAGCAACTCTGAGAATGAATTTTCTTTTATCTCCTCTTTGTGCAAACACACTGTTGGCGTGTCTCAAGGTGCTGTGAGTTTATACACCGCCACCGACACGCACACATAGACTTGAAAGCAGTTGCAGAAATTCAGCTGTGAAAGAGTTTTAAGAGCCTGTAATTAGCAGCTTAAATCATCCCGTTCACCAAGGACAATGAAGGTAGTGGGGAGTGACACTCGTTGTGCAGGGATCTGTTGCCGGCCTCTGGTTATATAGTACATACTGACATGCTATGTGCAGGGATGAAAATAATTCTCTCAAAGGATTGTGCACATATTGAAATGTAGTGCACAAAATGCCACTTGGGTAAATGAGTGGATTTGAAGCATAGTGATGTGAGATGCGCTCCTAAAGAAAAACAACATTTGTTGTTTGTATGAACTACTTAAAACAAACCAGTTTAGGGTGTACCATAGCTTCTGGTTAGAGATGGAATGATTTTTTTTAAGAATCAGGTTTTATTTGAAGGTTAAGATCACATCATTCTGGTGCAAATGTTTTATCTTAACCTGTTTTTTGAAATACTCTCAAAAAATATCCATAAGTCATTATTCACTCATGTTATTATAAAATTGTTATACTTTTTATTCTATTATCTTTTCAAAGAACAAATATTAGCAAATAATCTTAGCATATACAACAATGTATTCAAAATAAACATTAAATATTGTATCAACTTTAATTATTTAAAAAAAAACTGTATTTGACATGTCCTTTTTTATTCAATACAAATATGTTCTTTACAGGCTCCTACATAATGCTTATGATTTCCATGCATCTGCTACGATAACTCAATATGCGCTGGCCAAATAAAGGCATAAATACACCATTTCACCAGATACTTGCATATCCACTAACATATTTTTCATTTGCTCTCATAAGGTTTCATTCATCTATATTTTGATTATAAATTGGAAAGACCGAGGGATGAGAGAATAATAGTTTGGTGCCGGATTAAAAGCTTCTCATTTCATACATAGAGTGTTGAACACCCTCCAATCCCTCTTCTAAAATATTATCTTGGAAATCCTGTGAATTTTACTTCCTTATGCAGTATATTGCTGAAGGTTATCCCACAAAGCTCTTTTACATTTACTTTAATCCCTCTCTGCACTTTTGAATATATTTGTATGCCGCTTTACCTAAAGACAAAACAAAGTTAACATGAGTATTGAATCTTGATACTGTCCAGACTGAAGAGCTCAGTGGATGCACAATGGCATGCACCCACTTCACATCGGGAAAGGATTGGTAAAAACAAATTGTACAGAATGCAAATGCACTCTGCCCCCAATTTTGCCTATTGTGAAGATATTGTCCCATTCTTCCCCCCCCCCCACCTCTATCTGTTTTATTTATCTTATTTCTCAACTGAGGTGTGGAGCTCGGATGATAAGAGAATATTGCCGAGCACTAACTCTGCCATTGTTCCACTGGACCAGCACCTTGTTCCTCTCTCTTTCTGTTTCAAACGTTTTGCTGAGATAATACAAGCCTATTCTATTGGAAATGTTGAGGTTGTTAAAAGAGGTTTCTGCAGGAAGGTGGAGAGTTTATTGCAGAACCAGCTTGAGAGTGTTGTCCCGCAGCTTTTAGTAGCTCAGTCTGGCTCTATCACCGACTATCAGCCTGCTGTATTTGTATAGAGCAGACCATGTTTAGAAATAAATAAACAAAAGGTGGGATTGGGAGAGGAAATAAAACACAATGAAAAATAATTAAATGGAGATGGACATAAAGTGTTTGAGCAGGTAACTGAATGGACGGTCACAGTAGCTAAAGATAGAGACGGGCCAGCTCTCCCACCACAGGCTGCTTCGTGTATCGCTTGTATCAAAGCTTTTTCAAAGAACCTTTTATTTCCAGCTGCCTGCTCAAACACTTGCTACTACTCGTACAGCACACTGTCGTTTTTGAAAATGTGCGGTCTCATTACATCTTACCAAAACAGTACGTGCATACATAGTCATTCACTTGTAGTACTGCTTTTACACACACACACACACACACACACACACACACACACACACACACACACACACACACACACACACACACACACACACACACACACACACACAGCTACACACAGAGAAGCTGGCATTTCAAGGCGTTCGCTCCTCTGTGAGGCAAGAAGCAGCATGACAGACCCCAGTGTGAGGAATAAAGACCTATCATCTGCTGTCATTCTCTCCTTACAGACCAGGGGATTTTGCAGGGGGCTTGCTGAACCTGGGTTTGAGGTTGTTTTTTATTTATTAAATCTGTTATCAAGGGCTTGGGAAGCATAACGTGCCTTTGGTGAGGAGGAGTACAATGCGCTGTAAAACCCCTCAGTGATGGATTTCACTTCTCAGATCTTGTGCTGCTTTGATTTATGATATAATATAGAGTGATCCGCTGCTCATGCTACACAATAGCGCCATGCCCAACACTGATGTAATTCTAGCTCACTGTCGCCTATCACAGCCTGCTGTGCTGGAAAAGGGGAGAACCCTCAAATGCAATTCAAGGGCGACCTGATTGAATTAACCATCCATTAGATGGACGAGATGAGCTGTAATTGCGGGGGTATTTATCTATGCAGGTGAATGGGTTTTGACCGCAAGGTCATGCTACTGTTGTGTTGTCCTTGGAACAACTTGAGCAAGTGTGTACTTGTTCGTCTCTCGCTCGGCCGTATTGCTTTAACCTCATTGTCGAGCCTTCATGCTTCACACGGCAAATGTAGCTCCTGATGGTGTTTTTTTATGGACCTGCTTAGCAGTGCTCATTTCTCTCCCTCTCATCGCAGCCCTCGTTACTGACTGGGAGAATAGAAATTAGAGGCAACAAATGAGCCGAAGTGTGTATGTGTCAGTCAGGTGCATTGGGAGCAGATGCTTTGAGCATTTACACCTCCATGTCAAGATGTTCTCCTCTTGATTCCTCCAGTGTCCCCTACTCTTTTTCTACCTTTAAAACCTTGCCTTTGTCTGTGTATCTCCTTCTTCCATTAGCGTATTTAATAAAACTTCACATATACTCTCTCTTTCTATTTACTGCAGGCTTGCCCCCGTTATTCCCTCTGAGAGGAAGTGATGTCACGCCACCACCACCGCTTTGAGAGGGACTACCGGGGACCCTGGGAGCGGAGAGACATCCGCCCTTCTGGCCTCCACAATGGAGGAGCCAACCATTGCTGTGCCTCTGCCGTCGTCAATGGCAACAACCGTCCGGGGCTCCTTCCCCTCCCAGTCATCCCTTCCTTCCTCCCCACCCCGGTTACAGTTGCCGTGACAACATCGAGTAGCGACATCGCGGTCAAGCGAGGCATCACGGCAGCAGGATCAGTGGCTTCCGCATCTGCCAAGGTAAGAGCGTCGTCCAAATGATTGCCGCAACACCTGCTTCCCCTGACTCGAAACTAGTTTCCTGCTGCTCTGACTATCTTTTTTTAGTCTTTGTCTCTTTTTGTGTAAACTTTTTAATCTGTGAAGACTCCCCAGCTGGACATAATCTGCAACTTTCTCCATACTTTTGAGGCTTTCCAGTTTCGCCACTTTCTCAAAAATGCTTCTGCATTGTCCAACTCACTGGCATGCCTGCCTCCATGGTTCAACGGTCTCAGCTCTCGAAGCCCCTCCGCTCTCCCCTTCTCTTTCTCTGCTGCTTCCTGCACTCTCCACCCTTATCCCTCACTCCAGTCCTGCTGCTCCCTCTGTCCAATGCCCCTTTCTTGCCAAACCATTTTCCTTCCATCTTCATTTTCTCTCTCTCTGCCAAATAGCAGGCTTGTCCTGCATTTGCCTCCTTGGTAATTTCCTTCTTTCATTATGTAAATGACCTCTGACAGTGGCTCAAATGTGTGCTGCTGTCAGATGTTATGGCTATGGGTGTTTCTGCTCTAACAAGCAAACAAACATATAGGACCGCATCGTTATGAGCCCTGAGTAATATTTCTTATTTCTCTTACGGTACATTTCTCCTCATCAAACTTCGTCACAAATAGCAATATTTGTGTGGGTCTTTTGTGTATATTTTCCTAATTGGACAATATATCACTTTTATATTTGTGTTTGGACCATGTACAGAAAAGTGCAGCGTGGAAATGTCTGAGCGGTATACTCAAGAGTCGGACAGTTTTTGTTCTCCGCCCCCCCACCCGGGGATCTGCTAGCTAGCTGGCTGTCAGCCGCCCTGTGAAGAGAGGGCCTTTACCAAAAAAGAGTTAGACATTTCAGCCTGTCCACTCTCTCTGCTTCCATGGATACCATTAATCTTCTTTTGATATTCCTCTTCACTTTCAGATCATTTGCTTTAATTGAAACTTCAGCAGATCCATCTGTTTCTTTTCTTCTTTTGTGCTACGGCACCTTCTTGGGCTTTTGCTCTCGGTGGAGCCTGCACTCTAAGAACAGAGGTAAACAATGCTTTGGTAATTTAGCCCGTAAGTGCACATCATTAGATACCCTGCTTGAATGCACTGACCACAGACACAGTAAATCTGCTCTGGCACCGCATCGGCCCCTCCTTTTGTGCAACTGAATAATTACATACATCCCAACAAAGTCTCACCAACTCCCACCGCGGCCATTGTCATCATTCAATGGCTGCCAGAGCAATTAGGTGCCTTGCACCGCACGTGAGTGCGCATTAGTTTAAAGGTACAGTATTTGTGAGAATAAAGCAGATATAATGCAGGTCCTTACCTAGACGCCACCGTGCGTAGGTTTATTCAGAGATTTACCTTTCTTATTTTCCCGCCTTTGACAGTCCTTTTTGAGGTTGGCAACAGAGAGCAACAACGTTTAAAAAGAGAAATACTCAAAGTCTGGGCTCTGCTTTAATCATGGCCCATAAAAGTAACAGGGGCCTCATGAGCATAGGAGCCTATCTTTCTGTCTTCTTCCTAGCTGTCTGCTGTCCTCACTTACTCTCTCTCTCTCCCTTTCTTTCATCTTCAATCAAAGCTGTTTGGGGGACATACAGAGTCTGATGGACGGATGCAGCTCTCTCTCCATGGTCCCTTTGTCTCTGCTCTGTCCATGGCTACAGTAAAAAGCTGACAGGCCGTTATTGATCTGCACTGTTTGGGGACTTTCTTATAAACACTGCGGCCCAAGTGGGGACACAGTGAAATAGCTACACATGTACAGGAATGTGTGTGTGTGTTTTCTTTGATTCATAATCTTTCTACATACAGTTAATTTTAAGTTTTAATGATCGATATAGAGTTGTATTGTTGGTAGGAATAATTGATAGTGCTGTGTGTGTGCACATGTGTGGGTTGTGGAGGACAAATGCTAAGTTTAAAAGTGCCACCTGATGTAAAGCTAACCACATGGAACATAGTACATTTGAAGCTACACTTTGTGATCCCCTGCAAGGGCCCATCATTAATTGTTGATGTATTTTTGTTCAGTCGTCACGTATTTAAGGTCACTATAGAAACTAAATCCATGTAGTTAATTACCACATCTGTTCTGTGTCCTGCTGATAAAAAGGACGCTTACATGTCAGCTGGAGGTCCAGTTTGACTCTATGCCAATTACCTAGTATATCAATTCCTTTTGATTTACTAGGTAATAAATGGACTTCTTTATATTAAGTGGCTGTTACGTTATGACTTAATGGACTTGCCAAAATGAACTATACTTCAAATTCATCTTTATAGCAATCATGGCGATGGCAAGCTATTGTAAGGTTACCATTTAGATAAAAGTGAATAGACTGACATTTCACCATAACATGTTTTTTTTTCATTCCTGCTGCAATGGCTGTTATATTACATTATTACATGGCTTAGTTGAATACTCGATTCTGATTGGCCAATTCAGAACACGTGACAAGTTGTTAATCCAGTAGTACATACCGTACATACCACTGTCAAGGATTTATTGACCGTTGTTAAGGACGCTCACATCTGCAGAAAGAACTCCGGTCGATTTAACTGTATACAGCTTGCTTTTCAAACTGTTTGCTTTTCAAACTGTTTGCTTGTCTTTAGTTTTCCGTTGTCTACCGTCTGAGAGCAACATGGAGGATTTTAATATGAATTGGAATATATTTGGAGAGCACAGTAATTTGGATGAATGGTTAGAGGCTGATGAGTCCCCAGTGAAGAGAGGCGAAAAGACAGACCACATTATGGGGTATGAAACTATTTAAAGACTGGCTGATTGAAAAGAACCAACCAACAGAGTTTGACAGCAACGGTCAGAAAATGGCAAAATATATTCAGTTGCCAGTTACTTGGGCATTAGGTCAGGGATATCTAGATACTTTTCCAAGGTTTGACATAATGAATTGTGTGTACTTTTAAAGCAAGCAACAATGTTTTCAAATCTGTAATCGCAAAAACGCTATCTACAGTAAGCAGTTCCTGCCGTTGCTACGTAGGCTAGTTCAAACGGTAACAACGGACTATTTTTCTTAGCGGATGCATGTCATTTTAAATCAATAAAACCATTTTTTAAATCAATAATACTGTTTTTTAAATCAATAAATGTTTTTCTAAATCAATAAAAGCATTTAAATTAATATTGGGAGTCACGTCGTTCCTTTTTGAGAATGTGGCCTTCGAGCTCCCTGATCAGCCTGTCGGGTGTTCTTTTACCACATTGCTGAACATTATCCCTTTCGTATACACTATTAAGGTACACTATAAAAAATAGGTAAGCTCGCAGAGACATGAAGACAGATACAAAATTGTCTGACAAAAAAGAAAGACAGGGTGTGATATTGTAAAAATAAGGTGTTTTATAAAATTGTATTTGACTATAAATTGTATAAACCTACCGCATCTTTGCGCAGTATTTTGTTTATAAAAGTGACGCTACCTTTCAGACACATCTTTGAAGCTGTGTTAATTGTTGTACTAATAAACCCTCGAAATAACACTCACCTAGTGGGTGTTATCTCTGCCTCCAAAACCACTCTTTCACAGACTCGCTGTTAAAGAAAGAGCACTGTTGTAATTACAGTTACAGATCCAAACGATGATCCACACATTGCTTGTGTTCAGAATACGTTTTGTGAAAGATCTATACCAGGTTAAATGTTTGGACATTAATCTTGCAGCCTGTTATTTAGCGTCAGTTAGGATTTTACAGGGTATAAACGTGTGCCAAAGCTTAAATTTGTATCTGATATCACATATTATTTCTCAGGAAGTATCTTCCCACGGAGAGCCCACTTAAACATGTGGATTTTCCTGCATGGTCTAATCCTTTTTAAAATTAAATTGTTTAATCCATCCTCCCCAGATATTAAATAACTGCAGTGTTGGAAGTGTTGTATACCTATTTGTATTGAATGCAAAAGAAACAGCCCTAGTTAAAATACCTATACGGTTACATATTGATCCAAGCTGTGTCATAGTCTAATAACTCTTGTTAGTTTGGGCTTTTCCCTGTAGGTTTATCTTGATTCTTATGTCTGGTTCACTCTGTTTACATCCCATTCATTAAATTTTCTGTTAGATGTTTCTGACTACAGAGCAGTCTCAAGATGGCAGAATGAGAAATCCTTTAGCTTGTATCCATCTCATTACTTTAACATAGTTGGAAAGAAAGGTAAAAAAGCAAGTTAGTTTTGGGCCTTTTGTTATTCTGCATATTAAGTACTATGGTGAGTACTATATTAATGCCTGTAGGTGAAGTTCAATGTGATAGATTTTTTTAGAACTACATAGTATTTTTACATCTTTTGCATTTGAGTTTATGTAGCACCAAGCATACGAAGATATTCATTTTCATATTTGCATAAATGATTGTTTAAAATTGCTTCCTGTAGTCTTTATGTGATTTTTCAGAAGTCTCCCAAACAGTGTTGAACTACAATCAGACATGAGAGCTACAGTATTCAGTTGTCTCTTTAGCCTCACATTGTCAATGTTTTTAATTAGCTTTTTTACATTTTATTTATGTTTTAAAGACCATAGTATGACCATGGCACTGATTCTAAGGAAATGTAGTAGCACATGATAGATATGATGTTCTCGTTTAGTTGTTTTTATTAAAACAAAGTAACATCACTCTTGTTTAAGCTTTGATACCTACTGCTGTTTGATCTCCTACAATCTATAATACCTGCTGCTGGCAGTCCATTAAAGTGCTTTCCCCCCGACAAAGCCAAATAAATCGTGCTTCTCTGCTGAGCACGTATAGACACAAAACGTATTCAATGACAGTTGCCTCCACCTGGCAGAGATTCCTTTATAATAAGTGGTTACGCCAATTGTCATAGTTGTGGCCTAGGTGGTCCTTAAAATTGAAAGTCGGAAAGTCTAAGCTCCAACCGCCAGAATTCATTCTGTTAGTCAAGAAAACTCTCCTGGTGAATTCTCTCCTCAATCTGACAACATTTACCC